AACTGAGAGTTTATGCTCTGAGCCTCTTCACTTCCATTTGCTTTGTATGGAGTGTTTTCCCCTGGCTTCTTCACGGATCCCATGTCACCTGCCTAAGAGGTATTTACTGAACACCTGGACAAGGATGTAGCTCTCTCTGCCACTCCAGTTTTTATTATACTATATATATATATATATGTATAATATTATTGTTGCTTGTCTATTGTCTAGTGTCTATCATCATTCCATATGAGGATGTTTGTGAAAACAAGGTCTTGGTTTGCTTTAGTCACTGCTGCTCTCAGCACCCATGGCTGAGTCCCCAGAGTATGTAGAAAATAAAGCCACCAAATCACGTCTGTTGGACAAACCAAGAGTTGCAGAAGCCAAATTGTTGTGGCAGAGCAATAATATAAGGGAAGGAAGTGAAAGCATTGAATATAGACTTTTTTAGTAAATTGATGCGGCAATATCTGAGGAAGGGTGACGGGGAGAGGCTCAGGGAGGTAACAGGGTTTGTTTTTATAGATTTTAATCATGGACTAACAGATTATTCCTCAGCAAAGACATTTTCTGCTCCACTTAGTAATGATCTAGTTGGTATTTATGTCAGTAATGTGAATGAAGACATTTACAGTTTGTTTGTTTCATGTCTGGGTAATATTGACAGGATCATGATTCAAAAATGCTTAGACTATGAGTCAAAAGAAAGATAAGATGAAAATTAAGAGTTAAATGTGAGATCCCATATAGGTTGGACAGAACAGGATATAGAAGCCCTTTAGAGAGCCTATTAGCCAACTCTTCATGAGGTTTTGCTGGAGTTAAGGTAGGGGTTGATGGGTCACACTGGACTCTGTCTGCATTGGGTTCCACTGCCTTTTACCTGGGTGTCCTTGGACAAAGGTTTTAAACTCTTTGAGCCCCATTTTATCCTCTTTAAATTAGAGATACTTATATCTACTTGTCAGTTTTTATGAGGCCAATGGAGAATAAACCATGCAAAAAACACAGAAGGGCAATGTTACATGGTCAAGTGCTTGTAACAGAGGGTATTCCTATGGTATAATAAATATGTTTGGTTTTTGTCCCTCATTCCTACCTCAGAGGTCCTAAAAACCTTGGAATTTCCAGGGGGCTTCCCTGATAACTCAGTTGGTAAAGAATCTACCTGCAATGCAGGAGACCCTGGTTCAATTCCTGGGTCAGGAAGATCCACTGGAGAAGGGATAGGCTACCCTCTCCAGTATTCTTGGGCTTCCCTTGTGGCTCAGCTGGTAAAGAATCCGCCTGTAATGCGGGAGACCTGGGTCGATCCCTGGGCCAGGAAGATCCCCTGGAGAAGGGAAAGGCTACCTACTCCAGTATTATGGCCTGGAGAATTCCATGGACTGTATAGTCCATGGGTCACAAAGAGACAGACACAACTGAGCAACTTTCACTTTCAGGAGTGTCTATTGCTAATCAAAGGAGCCTCTTTTGATCACATTTGAGTTTATGTTAATGTTTATGTTAATGTTAATTTAGTTTACGTTATGTTAATGGGGTGACTTAAAGTGGGGCCCTTAGATTGGCTCAGGATAGGGCTAATCATCAGAAAGGCCCAGTGGTTAGAAAGTTGGAACTTTCAGCCCCACCCACTAACCTCCAGGAAGGAGAGGGAAGGAAGGCTGGAGATAAGGCTCTATAAAATCTCTTGAACAATGAGTTTTGGAAACCTTCTGGGTCAGTGAATCTAACCAACCTGGCATCTACATACCAGGAGGATGGAGCACCCCAACTCCATGGAGAGAGAAGCCCCTGGGCTCCAGATTCTTCTCTACCTCATCCTATGTGTCTCTTCATCTGTTTGTACACCTTATAACATCTTTTATTTAAAACTGTAAACATAAGTATCTCCCTGATTTCTGTGAGTCAATCTAGCAAAGTTTCACACCTGAATAGGGGGTTGTGGGAATCCCCAGTTTGTAGCCAAATCAGATAGAAGTGTGAGTAATCTTGGGACTCACTACTAAAAGCTGATGTCTGACATTGGCAGGGGTAGGGAGGCAATCTTGTAGGACTGAGCCCTTAGCTGTGGGGTTAGTGTCGAAATCTAACTGACTTGTAAGACACCCAATTGGTGTCTGCAGAGAATTGGTTATTGGTATTACAAAACACTCCAGAGTTGTGTATTACTATTTCCTGCAGACTTACAATAGAATTCATGATCTGATGTGACTGCCAAAAATATAAGGAAATCTCAGTCCTCACCACTGACAACATAGTGCCCTACCATAAGAGGTTAAAGTTCTACCACACATCATTAGGAGTGTCATGTTCAGGTCTGGGTACTGCACTTCAAATAGGGACATTAAAAGACTGACTCTCTTAGGAGAGCATAACTAAATAGGTGAAAGTATTCAGCCATGTCCTAGTTAAACATTGAGAGACATCCAAGTAAAAGATGAGAAGAACTAGAGTGTGAGTGTTGCCTCTAAGGAATAAAAATCAGCATCTCTTAGCAGACCCTGAGGAGCAGAACAAGGACCAATGCACAAAACCACAGAAGGGACTGTAGAGAAATAAGAACTGTAGGCATTGCAGCAATGACTAGCATGCTTAAAAGTTTTCATACATAAAACATGGTGCACCCACATGAATGTCTAAGGAGCAAGACATTCAATAACGAACTGGGCTGTACAATTCCTAAGGTTTCTTTCAACTCTGAGAGTCTCCAGACTCTATGTGTAATAGGAAAGAACAAATCTGACTCCATATTAAACCTAGTTCTTCCTAGTTAGGAACTAGTTAGGAATTGAAGTGAAGTGAAGTGAAGTCGCTCAGTTGTGTCCGACTCTTTGTGACCCCATGGATTGTAGCCTACCAGGCTCTTCCATCCATGGGATTCTCCAGGCAAGAATACTGGAGTGGGCTGCCATTTCCTTCTCCAGGGGATCTTCCATACCAGGGATCGAACCCGGGTCTCCCACATCGGAGGCAGATGCTTTAACCTCTGAGCCACCAGGGAAGCCCATAAGTAAGGAATTAGAACTTCTAATTCCTAGTTAGGAATTAGAACTTGTTCTTCCTAGTTCTTCTCTGTTGACTGTGCTTAGTCATGCTGGCTCTGCATCCTTGAAAAGAATGTTTCCTGGGTTTCCCTGGGTGGCCTAGTGGTTAAGAATCTGCCTGCCAGTGCAGGGGACATGGGTTTGATCCCTGGGCCAGGTAGATCTCACATACCTCAGAGCAACTACTGAAGCCTGAGCACCTAGAGCCCATGCTCTGCAACAAGAGAAGCCACCACAGTGAGAAGTCCATGCACCGCAGTGAAGTGTCGCTTCTGCTCACCAAACGTAGAGAAAGCCCTCACAACAACGAAGACCCAACACAACCAAAACAAACACAAATTAATTAGTTTTAGCCATTTGCAACAACACAGATGGACCTAGAGAGTGTCATACTGAGTGAAGTCAGATAGAGAAGGAAAATATCATATGATATCCCTCATATGTGGAATCTAAAAAGAAATGATGCAAATGAACTTACTTACAAAATAGAAAGAGACTCAGACTTAGAAAACAAAATTATGGCTGCCAGGGGGAAGGAGAAGTTAGGGACTCTGGGAAGGTCATGTACACACTGCTGCTGCTGCTAAGTTGCTTCAGTCGTGTCCAACTCTGTGCGACCCCATAGACGGCAGCCCATCAGGCTCCCCCG